CAGAAAGTGTCACTCCTGCCCCAGTGCCGCTGTTGGACAGGCACCTCATAGTGGTGGTAAAGAGTACTGTGACCAATGTTACACTGTAACAGTGCCAATAGTGAATCAAGTATTAGGTAGTGTAGCGGGTACATATCACTTGGATATATTTGAGTGTTGGTTCGACACAGGCAAGTGTTAGCTAGGAGCGGACTAGTGCAAGAGACAACGCCAGAATGAAGCTGGCGTTGATCTCTCTCTTCCTGCTCGTCCACGCCCACGCAGGTCAGTTCTCATGCCTACGCAGCATCCCACGCCCACTCAGTATTCTATGTCCACTCATCATTTCTTTTTATGTATCATCCCAATCCCACATATAATCCCACTCCAAAGCATCATCCCACGCCCACTGATTGTTCCAACCTCCTCTCGTTCCAGCCATCCTCACCTTTCCACTAAATCTTTTCCACACCACTATTTATTCCACCACCACTTGTTCCACCAAAATTTGTTCTGCCACCACTTGTTCCACCAAAATTTGTTCTGCCACCACTTGTTCCACCACTACCCGTTCCACCACCACTCGTTCCACCACCATATGTTCCACCACCACTTGTTCCACCACCAGTTCCACAACCACTCGTTCCACTACTTGTTCCACCACCAGTTCCACAACCACTCGTTCCACCACAACTTCCACCACCAGTCGTTCCACTACCACTTGTTCCATCACTACCACTAGTATCAGGAACACTTGTTCCACCACCAGCACTTCAACCAACCACCACCACTTTTTCCACTTACCCTCTCACGTTGTTCCACCGTAAGCACTTCTTCCATCATACCTCTTGTTCCACCTTCCATCATTACTTGTTCCACCACCACAACTTGTTCCACCGCCACTACTTGTTCCACCACCATCAGTACTTGTTCCACCACCATCAGTACTTGTTCCACCATCAGTACTTGTTCCTCCACCACCACTACTTGTTCCTCCACCACCACTACTTGGTCCTCCACCACTACTTGTTCGTCCATCACTACTTGTTCCACCACTACTTGTTCCTCCATCACTGCTTGTTCCACCACTACCACTACTTGTTCCACCACTACCACTACTTGTTCCACCACTACCATTACTTGTTCCTCCATCACTACTTGTTCAACCACCACCACTACTTGTTCCTCCATCACTATTTGTTCCACTACCACTACTACTTGTTCCTCCACCACTACTTGTTCCTCCATCACCACTACTTGTTTCTCCACTGTTCCTCCATCACTACTTGTTCCACCATCAGTACTTGTTCCACCACTAACACTATTTGTTCCCCCACCACCACTGCTTGTTCCTCCACCACTACTTGTTCCACCACCACCATTACTTGTTCCTCCACCACTGCTTGTTCTCCCACCACTACTTGTTCCTCCACTACTTGTTCTCCCACCCACCACCATTACTTGTTCCACCACCACCACTACTTGTTACTCCACCACTTGTTCTCCCACCACCACTACTTGTTCCCCCATCACCACTACTTGTTCCCCCACCGCCACTACTTGTTCCTCCACCACTACTTTTTCTCCCACCACCACTACTTGTTCCCCCATCACCACTAATTGTTCACCCACCACCACTACTTGTTACTCCACCACTACTTGTTCTCCCACCACCACTACTTGTTCCTCCACCACTACTTGTTCTCCCACCATCACTACTTGTTCCCCCACCACCACTACTTGTTCCTCCACCACTACTTGTCCCACCACCACCACTACTTGTTCCTCCACCACCACTACTTGTTCTCCCACCACCACTTCTTGTTCCCCCATCACCACTACTTGTTCCCCCACCGCCACTACTTGTTCCCACACCACCACCATCAGTACTTGTTCCACCACCACCACCACTACTTGTTCCTCCACCACTACTTGTTCTCCGACCACCACTACTTGTTCCACCATCACCACTAATTGTTCACCCACCACCACTACTTATTCCACCACCATCAGTACTTGTTCCTCCACCACGACTTGTTCCTCCACCAATACTTGTTCCACCACCACTACTTGTTCCACCACCACTGCTTGTTCCACCACCACTACTTGTTCCTCCACCACTACTTGTTCCACCACCACCACCACTTGTTCCTCCACCATTACCACTTGTTCCTCCACCATTACTTGTTCTCCCACCACCACTACTTGTTCTCCCACCACCACTACTTGTTCCCCCATCACCACTGCTTGTTCCACCACCACCACAATTACTTGTTCCACCACCATCAGTACTTGTTCCTCCACTACTACTTGTTTCTCCACCAGTACTTGTTCCACCACCACTACTTGTTCCTCCACCACTACTTGTTCCTCCACCAATACTTGTTCCACCACCAACACTACTTGTTCCTCCGTCACTACATGTTCCTCCACCACTACTTGTTTCTCCACCACTGCTTGTTCCACCACCACTACTTGTTCCACCATCACTACTTGTTCCTCCACCACTTCTTGTTCCACCACCACCACTACTTGTTCCTCCACCATTACTTGTTCTCCCACCACCACTACTTGTTCCCCATCACCACTACTTGTTCTCCCACCACCACTGCTTGATCCCCCATCACCACTACTTGTTCCACCACCACCACAACTACTTGTTCCACCACCATCAGTACTTGTTCCTCCACTACTACTTGTTTCTCCACCAGTACTTGTTCCACCACCACTACTTGTTCCTCCACCAATACTTGTTCCACCACCACCACTACTTGTTCCTCCACCACTGCTTGTTCCACCACCACTACTTGTTCCACCATCACTACTTGTTCCTCCACCACTACTTGCTCCACCACCACCACTACTTGTTCACCATTACTCGTTCTCCCACCACCACTACTTGTTCCACCACCTCCACTACTTGTTCCACCATCACTACTTGTTCCTCCACCACTACTTATTCCACCACCACCACTTGTTCCTCCACCATTACTTGTTCTCCCACCACCGCTACTTGTTCTCCCACCACCACTACTTGTTCCCCCATCACCTCTACTTATTCCACCACCACCACCACTACTTGTTCCACCACCACTGCTTGTTCCACGACCATCAGTATTCGTTTCTCCACCACTATTTGTTCCTCCACCACTGCTTGTTCCTCCACCACTGCTTGTTCCTCCACCACTTCTTGTTCCACCACCACCACTACTTGTTCCTCCACCATTACTTGTTCTCCCACCACCACTACTTGTTCCTCCACCATTACTTGTTCTCCCACCACCACTACTTGTTCCCCATCACTACTACTTGTTCTCCCACCACCACTACTTGTTCCCCCATCATCGCTACTTGTTCCCCCACCACCACTACTTGTTCCACCACCACCACCACTACTTGTTCACCACCATCAGTACTTGTTCCACCACCACTACTTGTTCCTCCACCAATACTTGTTCCACCACCACCACCACTACTTGTTCATCCACCACTACTTGTTCATTCACCACTACTTGTTCCTCCACCACTACTTGTTCCTCCACCACTACTTGTTCCTCCACCACTACTTGTTCCTCCACCACTGCTTGTTCCACCACCATTACTTGTTCCACCATCACTACTTGTTCCCCCACCACTACTTGTTCCACCACCACTACTTGTTCCACCACCACCACTGTTACAAAAAACGCGATTCTAAAAGCTTAGAGATCTCCAGTGAATACTAGAAAGGACTGCCCTTCTAGCATCCAGCCTGTTACTGGGTTTTCGTAACAATTAGTCAGTATCCTTGTCCAATTATCCATTGGAATTCAATAAGAATTAATAGTGCTTCAGGATTACAACTGGTAGGCTACTAATTAGAGAAATTAAAATTTAATAAATTTATTAATAGTTAAGTTGTCTAGGCGTATATCAAATTAAATTAAATTAATTTAATCACAGTACTCAAAATAATATTAAACACTTCTCTCGTGTACAGTATTATTGTGCTGAAAGCACATATCACATATTTATGTCTTAAGTACCGTCTGGTACATTAACATTTAATAATACAATATACAAATAAGTGTGTGTATGTGTGTAAGTGCTCTAAGTAGTTCGCTACGTCTCACGACTCGACTAGACTTAAACAAGTGACTGACAAAGTCCTCAAATAAACTAACTTCTTGACCAACTGGCAATCAGAACAGTCTGCTTGAACAATTAAAAGAATGCTAAGCCCAATAGCAATATAACAAGCAACTGAGACACAGAATCAGGAACTAGGAGATAATATAACGACACTAAGTAGGGACCATCAGCAGATCCTCCACAAAAGTCACCAAACTCCCATACTACTGAATCTAAGTTCAGCATAAGAAAATCCCCGACTGTGACAGTACACAGAAACCAGTACAAATTAGGTCAGAAGCTACAGCTCAGGACCTGAGTTGCTCAGAGTGTCTATGCGACACACAACCTCAGTACAACGTCGAAAATCACTAAGTCTCGACAGTGTTCTGCGAACAGAGTTCTACAGAACATACAACAATAAGATAGAGACGATCTTCCAACAAGAGCCAATAAGGGAGATTTAGGCACTTGTCAGGAATACGTCCAACCACCAAACGAGTCTAGACCAGACTCCATACTTCAGGCGAGGTGAGATCACCCACCCTCCCAATCACGTGATAGCTCCGTGGACAGTTGCTGCCCAGCAACAGAAGCCGGCAGAGTAACGAGCAAAGAGCGATAATTACAGTAGTTAGACAATCAAGACTTGAACTATGAGCACATAATATGTTACATCCTACCTAACAACATAACTAAGTCAAATAATAATATAAAGCAATATATTTACGATTTAGCTATTATCGCAAATATAAGCAATATAAAATTATATGAAAAGATAATATAAATTATATATATATATATATATATATATATATATATATATATATATATATATATATATATATATATATATATATATATATATATATACATTGTAACCCATTCAGGGGTTGCAACACCCCCCCTCCCGAACACGACAAACGGTCGCACTAGGAGTTGCATTAATGTCTTTCACATTATTACTGATTACTCATGTCACTTTAATAACAATATAAAAATCTAGAGTCAATCTTGTGCCAAGCACTTCTATAATTTCACAGTGTCTATTTCACTAAGTTATGCCCCTAGTACTAGGGCAGTACACAGTATCGTATCTCGAAAACTCGGGATTACCCAAGAGACAGTAGGGGAGACAACATACACTTGGGGGCCCAAACAAGTAGTGGAGACTG